TTGTGGGTTACTTAAAGGTAACAAAAATCTTTTCCAATCTCTCTTATTAATACAACACAAAAATCTTGTTCAAATGAGAAGACTAAATTTTACCTTTGTATCGGTGTGTTATTAATACTAAAGCCAGGGACCGGGCGTGGTGGCTCAAGCCTGTGATCCCAGCATTTTGGGAGGCCGAGGCGGGTGGATCACGAAGTCAAGAGATTGAGACCATCCTGGTCAACATGGTGAAACCCCGTCTCTACTAAAAATACAAAAAATTAGCTGGGCATGGTGGCGCGTGCCTGTAATCCCAGCTACTCAGGAGGCTGAGGCAGGAGAATTGCCTGAACCCGGGAGGCGGAGGTTGCGGTGAGCCGAGATCGCGCCATTGCACTCCAGCCTGGGTAACAAGAGTGAAACTCCGTCTCAAAAAAGAAAAAAAAAAAAAAATACTATAGCCAACCTTAATAAACTTTGTAAAGAAGTCTATCCAATCCCTATCAGTTTTGACCACAAGGTAAGCTTTCCATAAACCTTTTACAACCTCTTACAGTTTTCCCATTCTCTGTCTTTCCCCATCTTTCCATATCCAATCTTTTTATTCCTTCATTTAAAACAACTTTAAAGAACCTCAAAACTAGATAAAATTACTTTCCCTTTGACAACATCTACATTCTCATACCTTTTTATAACCTTTTAAAAAACAAAAACACACCTCTTTTCTTCTGTGTCCTCACCAGAATTTCCCTTAATGCCTTATTCACAGTAACACATGCATTTCTAGCCGGCACCTCTAAGTTCTTCCAGCCTTTACCCATTATTCACTCCCAAAGCCACTTTCACAGGTATTTGTATAGTGACAGCCCCTCTCTGGTACCAACTTTCTGTTTTAGTGTGTTTTGTGCTACTTTAACACAAATACAACAGACTCGGTGATTTATAAGCAGTGGAGGTTTATTTGACTCACAGTACTGGAAACTGGGAAATCCAAGAGCATGGTGCTGCTGACAGAGGCCAGAATACTGTATCACTTCACTGAGGAAGGTGGAAGGGCAAGAGAGGGAGACAGTGGCAAGAGACAGCCAAATTTGCGTTTATAACAAATGTACTCTTGGAATAACAAACTCATGATAGCAATAATAGGCTAATAATAATGAGGGCTCTGCTCTCGTGACCTAATCACCTCTTAAAGATCCTACCTCTCGGCCGGGCGCGGTGGCTCAAGCCTGTAATCCCAGCACTTTGGGAGGCCAAGGCGGGTGGATCACGAGGTCGAGAGATCGGGACCAACCTGGTCAACATGGTGAAACCCCGTCTCTACTAAAAATACAAAAAATTAGCTGGGCATGGTGGTGCGTGCCTGTAATCCCAGCTACTCAGGAGGCTGAGGCAGGAGAATTGCCTGAACCCAGGAGGCGGAGGTTGCGGTGAGCCGAGATTGCGCCATTGCACTCCAGCCTGGGTAACAAGAGCGAAACTCCATTTCAAAAAAAAAGATTCTACCTCTCAACACTGTTGCATTGGGGATTAAGTATCCAATGCCTGAGCTTTGGGTGACACATTCAAACCATAGCAGGACATGATTATTTAATGGACATCAAGTGTTTTTCCAGGGTGATAAAAATAGTTTTGAAAATAGAAAGAGGTGGTGGTGGGACAACATTCTAAATCTACTAAACGCTGCTTAATTGTACACTTCAAAATACTTACTTGTATGTCATATGAATTTCACCTCCATAAAAATAACCATGAGACACTTTATTCATAGTAGCCCTAAAGTAGAAACAGCTCAAATGTCTATCAGTTAATGAATGGATAAAAATGTTGCTTATCTATACAATGGAATGTTTTCATCATAAAAAGGAATAATTACTATTTGCCATAAAAAGAAATAAAATACATGCTATGACATGGATGAGTCTTGAAATCATTACTCTAAGTGAAAGACACTAAATACAAAAAGCCGTATATTGTATGATTCCTTTTATATGAAATGTTCAGATTAGGCAACCCACAGAAACTGAAAGTACATTGGTGCCAGAGGCTGGAGTGGTGGGTGAAGTTGGGAGGGAGGCATGGGGAGTGGCTGCTAATGGAAAAGGGTTTCTTTTGGGGGTGACAAAAGTGTTCTGAAATTAATGGTGATGGTGCACAATTTTGTGACTATGCTAAAAGCCACTGAATTGCACACTTTAAAAGAATGAATTTTATGGTATATGAGTTCTCTTTCAACAAAGCTGTTTTAAGACATTATGGGACTATGAAATGCACCTGAAATAACTATTTCTTTCTAAAAGTACAACCCTTACCTGAAGCTTCAAAAATCAAGACCACAGCTGCAACATTAAATTTCATACAAACAAGTAGAAAACAATCTACCATGTTATAAAGAGTGGAAATTGCCTCTAAGGAATGAATGCTATCTTAGTCTCTAGTGAAGCAGAGACCATTGATTTCGGAAAATCACAATGTGAAAAGTTGAGCTACCACTAATTTTGCTCTTTATTGTAAAGGAGGAAAGAGGAGACATGTGTATAGCACACAAGAAAATCTCAATTCCAAAATGTTCAATAACTGGTTTTATTCAATTAACTGCAAGCTAACTAGAAAAACCCTTTGGCTTCCAATTCTTGATGAATTTTTGTCTGTATGTTTGATCATTTTTTATAACAGATACGCTGACGATGATTACTAATTCAGAGGTCTGCAAAGCCTTATGGCCATCAGTTATAAAAATCAATGTTTGGTGTATAGCACCATAGGCACAGAAGGCGTAGGCTTTGGGATGGTTGTACACTAATCTTAGACATGCTGGATAAGGGTACGAGTATGTGCGTATGTTTATTCCCCACGTTAATCTGTAATCTTGTCATTTGCCTCTCTGGTAAAATAGAGTGATGAAAAAACATCTGGTAACTTTAAGATTATTTATTGAGTATCTACTATATTACCTCTACAGTAATAGAAGTATTACTTGTATTGTACTAGATACTTTCACGTGTTACCTTATTGTTTTCTTTTCTTGTGTTCCAGTAGGTTGTATTTCAAAAATCAGTGATTTCATGTGTAAAGTATACGTGGTCTTGTGATACCATGGTGATTCAAAATAATACCTACGGAAATTACATTCCTAAATTATATTCATATATGTCAGTGTATCTGTCTTTCCTGCCATAAAGAAATAAAACATGTTTTTAGAAAATTCTGTAAAATTTAGTATTCTGGAAAGAGGTTCTGTGGGTTAAAAGTATCCTGCCCCTTCACAAGCCTGGGAATTCACATACACATAATTGTTAGGCTTTAGACATGAATCGGAGCTGCTGACAGGGTGATTGTCGGTTTGTGAGAGGGGAGATGGAAACCTGGCAAAGAACCCCCGTCCTTTCCTCTCCAATAGCGCGTGTGCTCTGGCAGTGGTGCAGCTTACTCCCTGAGATGAGGATTTGTCACTGTAATCAATGTCTTAGACCTCAAGGTCTCCCTAGCACCTCTTCACCAGGAATACAAAGGTGTTTTTCGTCATGCTAAATCAGTACCACTCATCTTATCTGTGTTGTGTTTTGGAACTTTTGCTCTTTTAAATCATTGCTTATGTTTGATCAGTTTTGTTACTATTTATGGCAGTCATTCACTGGGCCGGATATTGTGCTAAGTACTTTATATACAATGTATGGTTTATCAGAACCATCTTATGAAGTTATTTGTATAAGTTAGGGGGGCTGTGTATGTGTGTGTGTGTGTCTGTAAGCAACAGAAAACCCAACACACAACAGGTTAAACCATAAAAACATAATTCTTAAAAAGAAACCTGGAGATGGGTGGACCTAGTTTGGTTCAGCAGCTCATCAGCATGTCCCCAGGAACCCAGGCTCTTTCAGTCCTTTCACTCTGCTATTGTTAGTGTGTCCATGATGTTTCTTCTTGTGTTCATAAGACAGCTGCTGTGCAGCACCAGACAACATGTCTCAATAGCAGTATTCAGAATGGGAAGCAAGGGGGCAAAGGCAAACAGGCTTTCTTTTTTTCTTTTAGATGGAGTCTCACTCTGTTGCCCAGGCTGGAGTGCAGCGGTTTGATCTCAGCTCACTGCAACCTCCTCCTCTAGGTCCAAGCAATTCTCCTGCCTCAGCCTCCCAAGTAGCTGGAATTGCAAGTGTGCACTACCACGCCTGGCTAATTTTTGTATTTTCAGTAGAGACGGGGTTTCACCATGTTGGCCAGGCTGGTCTCAAACTCCTGACCTCAAGTGATCCATCCGCCTCAGTCTCCCAAAGTGCTGGGATTTCAGGCGTGAACCACTGCACCTAGCCCAAATGGACTTTCTCTTCATGTATCACTCATTTCAAGAGGAACATCTTTCTCAGAAGCTTCTGGCATATTTCTCCTTCAGCTCACTGGCTGAAGAATTCAATCACAAGCCTTCCCATAGGTGCTGTAGGCCAATCAGTGGCATTTAGAAACGGAGTACTTAGATCAATTCAGCTCCTCTGCTGGGATCAGGAACATTGTGACCTGAACAAAACTAAGATCTGTTGTCATTGCTGTTAATAAGGAAGGAGATGGAAATGGCTATTAGGTAGGCAACCAGGGTCCGCCCTGCATCATTTTCCCCATTTTACAGATGAGGAAACTGAAGCTCAGAGAGATTAGTAGTAAGGTCAAACTGGAAGGACAAAACCAAGACTCAAAATAGATCCGTCTGCCTCCAAAGCAATTTGCTGTCACATTACTTGCTTTAGCCTGGAACTTGCTATAAGGCAGAGTTACTATAAATCACATCAAAAGGAATTTATTACTGAAAGTGTCAGAAAAACTGCTTTTTAACAGCGACTAACACATAATTAGGTCTCTAAGCTGGGAGTCTTTGGACAATGATGGATTCATGAATAACAGAAAACTAGTTGAGAAAAAACACAAAAACAAAGAAGCATCTTAAAATAAAGTAAATGTTTATAATCTTTTTTGTGGGCATCTGCAGTCTTTTAATTCTGGACTTCCCCCAACCCTTGACTTTCCAGAAATGGCCAATTTCTTTCAAATGCTGTATACTGGAAAAATCCAAAGGACTCATCAGATGAACAAATTTCAAAGAGCCACTACCAGTTTATTTTCTTAAGCAAAGCATCAAGCCTCTGATTTGCCGCTGATAAATTCTCTGTAAGTTGCATTATAATTAAGTACACACAAACCATTCTGTGTTTCCAAGAATACAGCTGGGCTGGCACTGAATTGGTGATAGTGCACAGGCACCGAGTGGGAGGGGTCCATTGCATCTCAACTACCATGTAACGTCTTTGTGTAGCGACCAATCCATCTCTCTCCTTGACACCCTTTGAATCACAGGCCATTGCCCATTCACCCCATGTCTGTCACTGAGCTTGTTTATGGGGCACCTTCAGTGAGCCTCCAGACTCTGGCCATCCGACGTCTATGCTCTGGTCAGAGAAAATGCCAAGAAAGCAAAGTGCTACACCTCTCTCAGCGTGACTTCCTCCCCGCTCCCACCAGGCTGGCGGGGGTCGGAGCGGGGGCAGAAATGGTGTGCAGCAAAATTGGGAAAAGAGAGAGGCAGCTTGGGGTGGGGGTGGCAGGAAAGGGTCGAGCAGTCAGACCAGGCTTCCAAACCTAGTTTCAGCACCCTGGCTTGCAAGGCTTTGACAAGGCACCTTACCTTGACATACCTCAGTTTCCTCCTACGTAGATGGGAAACCACAACACCAATCTTAAAATGCTAATTGTGAGAATAAGCAATAATTTATGTAAAACACATGGGATATCATAAATGCTCAATATATCGTAGCACTTATTATTACCAGCCTCTTAGTAGAAAGTTGACGGGCTCTTAGCACGAACATTTAGTGTGTGTTGTTGTTGTTATGGTTGTTCTTGGATATATAGAGGATATAGTTGCTTTAAGTTTTAATGCATCATAAAGTCCATAACATTTTGTTGGAAATTCAACACATCAGAAAGTGAAAAGCAAGTAGCCTGGCAGTGCTGTGTGTGAAGTCAACAGTGGCAACCCTATCTACCCCTGGCTTCTATGCAAACAGTTTCTTTACAAATGTGTTTTTGGTATGCAAATCACTCTATGCAGATTTCTGTGTGTGCAAAATACAGCATAGAAAAATGGCCTTCTTGCCAAGGAAGGCAAGAGATGTTGGCTGCCGTCAAATGAAATAGCAGCAAATTTCAGATGTCTTTTCCTACTTCTCTTTCTAACAATGTATGGAGTGAGCATATTTTTGGCACATTATACTCAACTATTTTGGCTTTAGACTGTGTGTTCTCGTGATAAACGTGTGGTTATTGAAGCATGTAACTACTTTTAGAAGCTGTAATCATGTTTAGTAGTATTTAAGTTAGAATTTCACAACAGCATGCCACCTCAGGTTAGGTCTAAAATCAAAGACAGCTTTGCTCGCAAGGTTAGGCTGCTAGTGTCTGTGTACTTCCTACTTTTCTGCAAAGACGTGAGCTTATTAAGGGATTTAGTGTCATATTTTAAGCAGGGGAGGGTGTGGGGGCATCCTGAAGACACTCCCCGTTTCCCGATCTCTGGGAGGGGGGCTACTCGGCTCCCTCCTTGTTCCAATTCTGAGGTCCTTGGCCTCTCTTACTCCAAAGAATGGGGAAAGGGGCCCCTGAGGATCAGTGAGCTTACTGTTTGAATAAATATCATGGACCCAAAGGGTTTAATGGAGAGTGATTTATTAGGCAGAGAGACAGAAAGAGAGAGAGGAGAGAGAGAGAGAGAGAGAGAGAGAGAGAGAGAGAGAGAGAGAGAGAGAGAGAGAGAGAGAGAGAGAGAGAGAGAGAGAGAGAGAGAGAGAGAGAGAGAGAGAGAGAGAGAGCGAGCGCTACCACTCTGCGGTGGGAGGCGAATCCAGAGGGGATATCCGCATAGGTAAGGAGCAGCGGGGGTTTTAACCCTTGGGTTATTCCCTCCCATTCATGTTCTCGTCCAATGAGAGGAGTTCTTTCAAACTTCCTCTGGAGTGATTGATCTTTGACTTTGATACCAGATTGGCTACTCGGTCCCCAACAGAGCCCCCTCCTCCCAGAGCTTTCAGTGGGCTTTTGGAACAAAGAAACCCACTTGCATTTCTCTACCTAACTCATGCTCAGGAGAGTCAGACAAAGAACTTTACATTTGAAACCCCTCTGGTTCCCAGATGGAGGCAAAACCACACCCTTCGCAGACCTGGGAAGAGAAGTTTTTTCCTTAAATCACTGTTTAAATCATAGACAGTAACTCAGTCCCCGATTTGAACAGGAAAGTCCAACTGCTGTTGGGACATGGGTGTTGATTGCTCTTTAACTACTTCCTGCTGAACTGGGGCCTAGAAGGGGCCCTGCAATTGAGGTTTCCTCCAGAGGGAGTCTTCCAGGGGTCCAGGTTGATTCAGAAGTTCACAACAGAACTCAAGCCAAGGACATCTGGGGTTCCATTTTCAGGATGATTTGATGCCTTATGGCTTTAATTCTAGAAGAAATTAATTTGACAAGAAGGTTAAAGATGAGAGGCCTGAATGCCAGCAATAATAGAATGGTTATAAACAGGCCTAGAAGAGGGTAGAGCCAGGACAGCCAGTTGTTAAACAAGCTCCATGATCCTGTTTCTTGAAGGTCTTTAGCCCTGCGTTTGATTTATCCCTGAGTTCTTTAACTTTGCTTAAGACAATATCTGATTGGTTTATAAAGTAGCAGCATTCTTTTCCTAGCGAGAGACAGGTTCCTTCTCTCTCGCTGTTAGCAGATTCAGGGCCCTTTATTTTGAAGAGCTACCACAGCTAAAGAGTTAAGCTGCTTTTTCAGAGTCAGCTGCCTTTTCAGAGAGAATTAGCAACCTTTTCTATGTTATTATCTAACCCCTGAGATAACTTATAGTGAAACTGAGTAGAGGTAGTAACTTCTCCAATGCCAGTACCAAGTCCTCCTATTATTTCGTGCCCCCCCACACACTATGAAAGGAATAATTGGGGTTTGAGTATGGCGTGGTCTTGGCAAGAGGAGACTCTGCACCTGAGAGTCAGTGTAAATTGTTATGGAGGGGCACTAGGAAAGAGGGGAGGAGAGCTATTAGTCAGTCTGTAGGGTCAGCCGCATAGAGTCCAGTTGCAAACAGTAAAGCTAGGAGTGATAGTCCAATTAATGCCAGGATGTGACTTAGACTCATGAGTAGTTACTTTCCTGGGGATCTCACTGGAAGAGCAAACGCAGGTCCTCTAACGGCTCGCAGGTGGATGAAGGGTCACCTCCTGGAACTTCAGGCTGTGGAGCAGAGGGCCTGTGACTTTCTTCAGGAGGGGTCCAAGGCTTCAGCCAACTGTGGTGAATCCACGAGTCAATCCCCACCACCTTAACTGCCGTTGGGGTAGACAGAGTAACTGAAAATGGTCCTTCCCATGATGGGCCTAGAGAGGGAGAGTCTGAGGGGAGAGATTTAACAAGCACCAAGTCTCCAGGGCAGAACAACTCTTTCCGCTTTTCCCTGGGGTGTCCTTCAGGTCAGGTCCTAAAAGCCTGTCGGTACTTAGCCAAGGAGGTTCTGTCTTTTATTAGATCTGCTGTTTCCTTGTCTATACAAGATCATTAGTAAGAAAGGGCTGTCCATAAAGCATCTCATGGAGGCTGAGTCCTATTATCTGAGGAGAGTTTCGAGCCCTTAAGAGTGCTCTTGGTAATAGAGAAGGCTAAAGGCCATGGGAGGTGGGTTTCCTGTGTCAGTTTCTTTAAGTGTCTCTTAAGAATTTTATTCATCTCTTCCACTTTCCCTGAGGACTGAGGCCTCCAAGCACAGTGGAGATGATGCTGTATTCCTCACGCCCTGGGAATTCCTTGGGTCACTGCAGCTTTGAAGGCAGGGCCGTTATCATTTTGAAGAAACAGCGAGGGAGTCTGAAATTAGGGATTATTTTATTAATTAGGACTTTTATTACCTCTTGGGCTTTTTCTATTCTACAGGGGAAAGGCTCAACCCAGTTTGTGTAGGTATCTACATATACTAACAGATATTGACATCCCAAGACTTAGGTTTATGGGTAAAGTCCACTTGCCAATCCTCACCTGGGTAACGACCAGCTCGCTGTTCCCTAGGAGGACAGCCTTGAAGAGACTTTTTTCTGTAAATATAGATTTAGCCATTCGATGTGTATTCTGTACACCCATATGGAAGGTTTGATGCAGGGTTTTCAGTACTTTGCACCAGCGGGCAGCAGGTAGGAGTATTTTTCCCTCCTCAGTAGCAAGCCATCCTGAAGGAAGAAGATTATGTCCCTGGGAGACTGCCCACTCTACCCCTTCTGATGAGTCCTGAGGTCTAGTTTCCTGGACAGTGTTTTCCCATATTAAAGGTCCTTCTATAAATTCTCGTCTGGCTGCCCTTTTTGCCTATAGCTCAGCTCGGCTATTGCCCTCTGCTTCCTTCTCATCTCCTTTCTGGTGGCCTCGGCAGTGTCAAGATGCTGCCTCTTTGTGTTCTCGGACAGCTTGTAATAAGTCTAAAATTCCCTTATGACATTTAATGGGCGTTCCTGCCGAGGTTAGGAGCTCTCTTTCCTCACATATGGCCGCATGGGCGCGCCAAACCAGGTAAACATGTTTGGAATGTGTGTGTGTGTTTATTCTCTTTCCTTTTCCTAAGTTTAGAGCTCGAGTGAGGGCTACGAGTTCTGCCAGCTGGGCACTAGTTCCAGGAGGAAGGGAATTCCTTTCAAGCATTGTTTGGTCACCTACTACTGTATATCCTGCCTTTCAGACTCCATTTTCCAGAAATGAACTTCTGTCATTTGTATAGGTTAAGGTCAGGATTGACTAGAGGAGTTTCTAAAAGGTCCTCTTGAGCCACATAGTTCTGGGCTATAACCTGCCGACAGTCATGTTCTCTGTCTGCCCCTTCCTCAAGAAGAAATGTAGCTGGATTGAGGGCTGCACATGTGCACAGCTGAAGTACAGGCCCTTTGAGCATTAAGGCCTGATATTTGAGTAAGTGGTTGTCGGGCAGCCATAATCCTCCCTTAGAGGCCAGAATTCCAGCTATGTCATGTGAAGTCCATACAGTTAGATCTTGCCCTATTTTAACAGCTTCTGAGACTAGTAGAGCCACCGCAGCTGCGACCCACATCAATTTCCTTACTTAGGTATGCCACTGGTTG